GAGTGGCATTGGTTGGCTGGGAGTGTTGGAGTACTTTTGTGTGAGTTGAGAGTGGATGTGTCCCTCACTCACTTGCTTAGTTTTCATTTGAACATTTGAACAATGGCCTGTAATAACTATGTAAGATTAAGACATTTGGAGCTGGCTGCACTCTTTTTTCCTGCTTAGGGTTTCTCACAAGTGTGAGTTTTACCTAGGTAGGTTTTTAATGAGGCAGCGTTGCATAAAACAGCTCTTTTTGATATTTAAATGGATTGAGATGTTTATTTGGAGGTGTTTTAGATTTAACGGGCTGTGGGCTGGCACGACCTGCTATTTTTGCCGTGCCTCACGGACCAGCATGTCATGAAAAATGACCCACAGGCCCGTGCCTGGGCCGAAGGCCAGGCCCGCAGGCCGATGAGGCACGGCCCGCAGGGCACGGCGTGCCTCCTTGGCCCGATAGCCATCGTGCCGTGCCGGGCCGGGCCAGCCCGATGCCCAGGTATGCAGACGAGACGAGAGAGACAGAGTTGGGAAAAGCCACACGTACACGAGATGACCTTTCCATTTGCACCCACAAGCTTTCGTCACGGAATTTTTCCAGAAAAAAAAGCTTTCGTCACGGATTGTTTTTTTTAACAAAAATACTACCAAGTGTGGCTTTCGTCACGACTGGCCTGATTTACCTGTGTTGTAATATAAATTGTAATTAATAACAATGAATATAACGAACCAAATTCTAACCATCATCTGCCTTGAACTGTGCTTACGTGAGCTGCTTATCAACGATGAAATATCTGAGGTGAGTTTTATCGATCTGTAGAAATGTCAACCTAGTCTCTCGTAGACATTCGTAAGAGGAGGTGCGTTCACATAAGAAATGTGTGTGTTTTGCGGTGTGTACGGAGAAAGAGATGACCCGCGCCGCAAGGTTGGTTACCAAATCGTTCGCCACAATTTTGGCGTGAAAATCGGGCCTTGTTTAGATTGCCTCAAAATTTCAAGTTTTTTCGCTCTCTCTCAATCACATTAATTTTTAGACATATGCATGGAGCATTAAATGTAGGTAAAAAAAAACTAATTACACAGTTTGGTTGTAAATCACGAGACGAATCTTTTGAGCCTAGTTAGTCCATGATCGGACAAAGTTTGTCAAATACAAACGAAACATGCTACAGTGTCCAGATTGCAAAAATTTGCAATCTAAATGAGGCCTCGGATGCAAGACACTACAGACAAGTTTGAGCAATTACGACATTTAAAGCTATGGTACTCACGTCTGACTTCAGATATGATAACTTTTGGCTACATGCCCAAGGTCTTAAATTTTGTAACCTTGTAGTTGACCCGTTAAAACCGTCATATCTTCATTGAAGACACCACAACTCATCCTCATCCTCGAGCAACGATTCTTGCTCTATCTCGTGCGTGTACTCTTATTGTTGCTGGCCCCACACCACCTCTATCGATCTCAGCCTCTCTCATCAAGTAGGAATAAGACACCACCAACATCCTTGATGGATGCCAAATAACTTATTTTGCCACTCCCTTCATTGACATCATCGCCCTATGGTTCTTGCATTCCCGGTTAGCTGCCTTATGCACCACCCACATTGTATGGACGAATTTAGCTTATTCTATCAGGTACCATAACCTTCGATGACATTCTGTGATTTCTTAACAAAGGGAGTACCTCTAGTTTACGCACCAGTTTCTTTGAGTTCTTTCAGGCAACCAACATCAACCATCGGATAACAACGATCCTAATGTTTATTCTTCGTCGAGACTGTTCACCTTCTTCTCTCATTTCCCCCACCTACCGCCTAGCTCCTCTAGCTTTGGCTGGGTCCTCGACGCTGAGCTGCTCCCCATTGCCCCCAACGCGGTAATCTGTGGCCATCGTCGCTCCCAGCTCAACCCTTCGTATCCAGGTATCCTTCGCCGCACGCTGATGGCAGCTCTCACCGCCTTTGCCCTCAAAAATTTGGGAGTCACCTGAAATTGATGTCAACTTCATGCGTTTGACTGTAGAAAATGTGCTTAACAAAATAGCGTTCATATGTAAGTTCCCCACGCTTTTCATCTCTAAGTTACCCACGCTTTGTCTATCGTTTAATGGAGCTAACCCAGTGTCGTTCCAAGCTGACTGGATTCCCCCGGCTCCGAAGGTGAAATTGGTAGGGTACGCCCGTACGAATGTTGTACTAGTGTACGTATATGGCACTCAAAAGCAGACAAGTTGCTGACTCTTAAACGTTTATTTTTCTTTTGCTATAGAATAGCATTCTTTCCTTTTCGTGGAATTTTTCTTCTTCTAGAACACATACTTTTTTCAACTAATAACGTGGTAAATAAGTTCAACTTGAAGGAAAAAAAATGTTCCGTGGGCAAAATTTCCAGTTACACTGTATTCATTTATTTACTAGTCCGCCTAAAAGCGGCAAATAACACCGCCGCTTGATGGGTGTTTTAAAGAACACAAAGCCCTTGTTTAGTTCGCGAAATTTGGATTTTGGGGTACTGTAGCATCTTCGTTTTTATTTGGCAAATAGTGTTTAAACATGGACTAATTAGGCTCAAAACGTTCGTCTCGCAATTTCTCACCAAACTGTGCAATTAGTTTTTCTTTTCGTCTACATTTAATGCTCTATGTACGGGCCGCAAACATTCGACATGACAGATACTGTAACAACTTTTTAGAATTTAGGGTGAAACTAAACAAGACGAAAGTCTATTCCCTTTTCCTTTTTGCAGTGCAGCCCACCCCACCCCCGGCCTGTGTTGTATCCTGCCGGCCTTGCGCATTTGGGCTCAGCAGCAGCGCATCAGCAGCCCTTCCGTTGGACCGGCTGGCAGATCAAGACTCGTTATCGTTAGCAACCCATCCGGAGCTGATTTTTTTTCCCTGAGCCAAAACAAAACGCAACTCGGAATCGGAGGCACGCGAGCCACACCTTTGTTCGTAGAGATCTAGAGATGATGCCGAACTTGACGAGATCGTTCGGAATCGGATGGATGCTGGCACCCCCAGATGGCACAGATTTGCACCGCGTAAACTGCACATGGATGGTGGATGCACGCATTGATGCACCCCAATATCCCATCCCTGGGTGGCTGGGTCATCTCGTCTCGTCTCGTCCGCACAGCACACACAGGGTGTCGGATATTCCTCCTCCCCGGTTGGGTAATCTTCACCACACGAGCACGCATGTGACTCTTGAGGCGCTCGGCGGCTTCTTTCCTTGGAGCCAGCAGTCAGCAGCAACACCCTTCGTCCCAGGAAAAGATTGATTCTATCTAGAATATTGCTTATCACTCAAATTATCTTAAATTAACTGTTTTTTTATATAAAAAGACATCAATGCTTATTATGCTATGAACAGATATCACTAATTTTGTCACGGAATATGTCCATACTATATTTATTTATTAGATTTGAGTCTTAAATGGGTACGCTCTGTTAAATTTAAATCAATTTGACACTGACAAAACATATCAGTGTTTTTTTTATCTTTTAGATCCATAAATAGAGCTAATAGTTAGCCGCTAATAATTAGCTTATTTAGCAAATGGATCCGGCTAATAGTCTAGATAATCATTAGCTAGTACTCCCTTGGTTACAAATTATAAGCCGCTTTTGACTGTTTTTCGGTTCATCCATTTTATTATGTAGCTAGATATATTATTATAGATGTATAGCAAAATAGATATAAAAAAAAGTCAAAGCAACTTATACATAATTTATAAGGGAGGGAGTACCCGGCTAACAACTATCAACCCAAACCAGTTAGTATGAGCTAGCTAACTATTAACAACTAAGGGAACGGAGGTAGTAACAGTACTTATTTTACTAAGCAACTCCTGACAGGATTTCGTATGATCCGTACGTATCTTCTTCTACTAGAATCTTGGGGTAGGTGCACGGAAGGTCTCAAACCCGCTTGTTCAGTTGTGGTTCCAATCAGGAGATAAACTAATGGAGATTCCAGCTCCGATCTCGTCCTGATGATGCCAATGATAGCTACGTACGCAATCAGGACAATTCCTCAATCTCCCCCATCTTCGCAAGAATATTCCTAGTCCATGTTTCCAGTCCACGGCCCGATATTACCCCAAGTTTAACAAATAAATGGCAAGGAATGTTGTATGTAATGTTGGTGGTGGTGTACAAACCTACCACTATCATGACTATCTATCCGATCCTGTGTAAGCTACTCATTCGGAAACATAAACATATACTCCTGCTTTGGAAATTCCACACGGTTCCACATTTCTAACTGAACTGCAATCTTAAGTGTGAATCATGTTGGACTCCACTCTGATTTGTATGTATAAACCAATTCATTCGTACTGCATCTCAGCATTTCAACTGCAGTATAACCCAGTTCATTCACCTAATGAATGTTTTGTTCGCACTTCAGTTCATCTGACGAATATTTTTTGCAACCAGGTGGAGTTCTGCTAACAAAAGCACGTAGGATTTGGATTCCTCAAGGAGAAGGAACATGGAGTAACAGGTTACTACAGCTTTATCTGAATCGAACTGAATTGTCAGCTTACTGAGATCCAGCTAACACTGCAAAAATTATCAGATTCACACTGGATCAAACAAATACCAAACAAGAATTACTACTGCAAAATGCTCATAGATTCCGATTTCCGAACAGTGGAAACACGAATTAGTAGAGATCCATAGATTCCAATCGTTTGCTTTTTCATCCACAAACCCAAAGCATCGCATCTATAGACTAGGAAGCGGATTAGAACAGAAGTTAGCTCGAACAGTGTATTCCAACCAATATCCTCAGCGGTTCCCGATTATTAGTAGAAAGAAGAATCTAGCGCTACTGCTTCATAATCTTTCGATCGTTGCTTCTATATACACTTAAAACCGCACACGCCAGCCACACGCTCGGCTGTGAAGGGAGAGAGGGGAGGACCGAAAAAACAAAACAGAGGAAGACGACGAGCTCGACGGAGCAGCAGATTCGACGGGCGCGAGAAAGGGGGAACGGAACCTACGCGATCTTGGCGAAGCAGCCGCCCCCGGCCATCATGACCTTGAACTCCTCGAACGAGATGAGGCCGTCGCCGTTCTGGTCGACGCCCTCGATCATGCGGCGGCACTGCGCGACGGAGGCGGACTCGCCGAGGCCCCTGAGGACGCGCGCGAGCTCGGCCGCGGAGATGGTGCCGTTGCCGTCGGCGTCGAAGACGCGGAACGCGTGGCGGAGGTCCTCCTCGACGGCGGCCGCGTCGCCGGCCACCGTCGCGTTCAGCGCCGCGAACTCGTCCAGGCTGATGAAGCCGTCGCCGTCCGCGTCCGCCTCGGCCATCATCCGCGCCACCTCGTCGTCGGAGGCCGCGTGGCCCAGGCTCTCGAACAGCGCCGCCAGCTCCGACCGCGAGATCCGCCCGTCGCCGTTCGCGTCGAACTTGCGGAACACGCGCGCCATCTCCTCCTCTGCCGACGTCGCCGCAGGCGCAGGGGGGGCGTTGCCCTTGCCTTCCTGCTGCGGCTGCATCTGCGGCGGCGGCGACTTGGAGCGGCGGCGGAACAGGGACGGAACGGGCATCCTGATCTTACCCATGGCTCTCGCTACCTGGTTTGGTCGCGTGGCCTGAGGGCTGTGAGGCGATTCGGCTGGTTCCGTCACGGCGGTGGCTGCGGTTTCGTTTCTGAGACGGGCGGCATATTTATAGAGGCAGGACCGCAGGAGGTGGGGCCGGCGTTTTCCATTATACGATCACGGATCCGAGCCGTGCAAGCCAGGGAGGCCGGCCGGGGAGGAAGCTGCGCGCTCTAGCTGTTGCGCTACGGTCCCTGCCATGTGGGCCCCGTCTGGGAAGCCGTGCTTGCCCCAGTGGATTGCGGATACCGCAAACCTGCTCGTGAAAACAGTAATGGATTGCCGTTTCATGAGCTCGCGTGTACAAGGAAAAAAGGCTTCATCTAAAAAACTGAAACCCCTGAGAAACTCTGCCAAGGACGGCGCGCCTAGATATCCATCATGAGGTTTTTATTAGAACAACCACCCTTACCTTTTGTTTAGCGTGAGATTGAATCATCTTTAGTTCTAAAATTATTCTAAGTTTGAATTGAACTGATTCATAGGATCAGGATAAAATAAAGTTTTCTATTGTACGATGTTTCCATTTCCGCTTTGTAGTTCGAGAAAGGTTGCTTGCCTCGCAAAACACCCCAAATCATGCAGATGGCAGGCATGAGCGAGAGGGTCGAACGAACATGGCGCCACATGCAAAACTTCAATTTCATACCGAACGAACCATGTATGGATGGATGGCCAACGGAGAAGGATAAGGCATTGCTTATGTTAGGAGCCTTGTTTTATTCCTTTTTCCGGGTTCCATGTAGTAGGCCTTTTTTAGTTCGAGGGCTGCTTAAGTAAATAAATGGAAAGTAATAATCGCAACATCAGAGCACAGGTCTCCCTTGCATCTGCATGGCTGCTAAAAAAGGCTCCGACTTCAGAAAGGCCACTGCTACTTTAGACTCTCTTTGAGAAACATTGCAAGCCATGAATATGCGATTCTTGTGCTGTGGTTAAGCTCCAGTTTAGAACGCGTGAATCTTTTTTTTTCATAATCCATGGCAGGTGGAGCCTCTACAAGGATTCTTGTGTTCTTTAACGGTATGTACTTTTGTATTTCTTATGATTTTTCAAAGGATCATTGATGATGTAGAAAATCTAGAATTATTATATTTGTAATAAAATTGTAATTGTAATTGTATTGTATTTGTTTGTGTGTGTGTTTTATTTCAATAGGTTAGATACAATTTTGTATGAAACATAATCGCGACTCAGACCCTTGTAAACTTGTAGATATTCACCTTTATGAACGCACGCACGCTATACCTACATGAGCACCCTCCCGAGATACTAAAGGCAAGACCTAAACGCAAGAGATTTCAAGATCGACAAGATCAGGACAGCCATTTTCTATGTTGATAGATATGTTGCCTCACACTAATAAAAATAAACATTGATTTTTCTTCGTCAAGTACAAGAAAGCTGCGATCATCAATGTTATGTCTAGGAGGGTGTTTGGTTCTAGCATTTGTTTGCCACGCTACGGATACTACTCGCCATAGAAAGTCAGGCTATTGTTCGTTTCCGCGTAAGGTGCGACCAGCCACAAAAATCTTAGGGCCTGTTTGGAACATGGGTTTTTTTTTCTATCCCTGCGTTTTTCATGTGTGAAATTGAACTGATTCTTGTGAAATTTCTGTGTGATTCCTGTGTGATTTCTGTGTGATTCCTGTGAAATTCCCGTGTGATTCCTGTACGGTTCCTAGCATTTTCTATGTTCATTTACATGTGGTTTTTCGCCACAACTGTAGCGTCCATTTCCTCTGCCTCAGCTATGGCAGTGCCACAACAACACAGACAAAATGTTACATATTATATTTTTTGTCACTTCTATATTTCAAGTGTCTGAATTTTAAGATAATTCAAGACAACACTCTTGTACCTCTAACCAGTACAAGTAAATTTTTATTTTTATGATTTATTATTTGTCTTTGTATCATAACGTATTAAAATTTGTCCTTATCTTTCTATAGAAAATAATTATAAATTGTTAATTGTCTTTGTGTCAACACAAATCAGATTTTGTCGGGTTTGTGGTTTTTATAACATGTTTTTTATTCGGGGTTCTAAAAATTGTAGATCGCGTTTGCAGAAATTGCAATAATCAAAATCTGTGATTTTTGTATAAAATATATACAATAACCACCACCCGAAAGGAAACTGAAATTCAGGCGGTTGAATTTTAGCAAATCCCATTTTTTTTTGTTATGTCAAATAAATAAAGAGGAGCTTATTAAAAAAAGTTGTGTGGTGCATGACCTGTATGCCGCTTTTATTTATCCTTTGGGATCATTTAATTTGCGGAAAGCGAAGACCAGCGCATGGAACAATTAATAAAATGGAGAGTATCAGCACATCTGTATGATCTATCCCTCTTGCAAGCCAGGCCGAATGTTTTTTATTATTATTGGCATGTCAAATGTCAACTACCGTGTCTCTGGACACACAATCATTCGAACATTTGACTTGAAGGTTTTGAATATATATATATATATATATATATATATAACTACTATCCTGTAGCTGGCTGTAGAATAATTTATGCTGTAGCCACTTTGAGTTACAATAATTACTATGTTAATTTACGAGATTATAGTAACTCCTTACTAAGTGGTTTAATATAACGTTACGGTAAATATCTCCATGTGTTATAGTAACCTAACTATCGTAAATATATATTAAAAAACGATTCCATTCATTCGTATCGCTGGCAGCAGATATACACTTGCTCAACCAACGTACAGTACGGTCTTGGACGGCCTGTACTGTAATCTTCTATCCCGCTTACTAGTAAAGATATGGAACGATGATCGCAAAGATTCATGGCGCATGACCCGGATTTGATTGTTCGCTTCTCTTATAATCCGTGTTTTTTAACTTGTTTTTTCAGCTAAAACAGTGTTTTTTTCTCACAACAAATCAATTGAAACAGTGTTTCGGTTTGTTTTTTCAGCGAAGCGAACGAAGCCTTAGTGCTTTGATTGGCAATGGCCAGCAGCGATGATTCGATGGAGAAACCAGTCATCCGGCTGGGCAAATTAGTTACTAACATGAATGATGATGAAGATTTTATGATAAGTGCCAGACCAAGGAGCGGCATACAGCCTGTTCGCTTGCTCGTAAACGATCGTAAATTTCCAGCCGGGAACAATGTTTTTCTCTCACACCAAACTAGCCAGCAGTAAATAATCTACGATACGATATGGCCTCCCGAACAGGCTGATAGCATATCTTGAAGTCCACTTAAGCCGGCGCTGGCGTCGTCGTCCAGGTTCGTGGAATTCCCGGGTGGAAACCGAATTCGCGCGCGGTCAGGCTGAGGCAGCGTGTCCCGCCCACGACGCGGAGGCCATGCCATTGCCAATGCCAGCCGCCGGTGGCCTGCCTCTGCCTGGCTGGCCGCGGGTACAGCTAGCGGTGACGATGGGCGAGCGATGCCACTTTCGCGGAACCTGGACTGTGACTGGACCGACGCAACGGGAAACCGTTACAGGGTCCCCAGCTCGCGGGCCCCACCGCCCTTGCCGTTCTCCGTGATTGCGGGGGGTGTACGGGATGTTGGGCAGTTATTGTGGCCAACGGCTACCGGGAAAAAGTCGACGAGAAACCGCGTGGGAAAAGCGCGAGGCCGTGCTGCGGGGCCCGCGGCGTGGTGCGCCACCTGGCTGGCCGTGTGGGTGAGAGCGAGACCAGCTGGTTGGGCTGGCTCACAGCTCACTGCATAGCGCGTTCGCGATCGACAGTCATGGAGGCCGACTCGGCTGTCTTGAGTATAATCTGACGAATCCGTATGTGATGGTGCGAGTTATGGAACGAGATTTGCTTGACGCTTTCTACTGACAGGATCATAGCAGCGAGGTGGTTGGAGGAAGGGAACATCCCAACAGCTCACTGCATAGCTAGGCTGAAGGATGCTTTCGCCACAGTCGTGGAGGCCGACTCGGCTCCTCCTGCTGTCTGGAAGACAAAGAAGATATCCGATGAATCCGTGTGTGTGTGTGTGTGTGTGTGTATTTGCCTGGCGTTTTACACTCTACTGACAGGATCATAGCGGTGAGGTGGTCTGTTCTGTACCATGTGTGGAAAATGAGTAGAACGAGTTACCTTCTCTTGGTACTCGGTTACATGTTAATATAGTTCAGGAAGCCCCCGATGGCTTGTACAACAAGAAGATTACAACAAGATAGATTTACACGGAGTAACAAACTCCCTCAAGCCAAGATACATGCTATGCGCCAGGTACATGCTAACAGCCATGTAACGCGATAAACAACCTTATCATCTAACACTATGGATCGGAGCAAGGGAACAGCCGAACAGGGCAATTTCGCCGCGCTTGTCACCTAGCTATGCCCTTTCTGTTCTGTAAAGAAGATTCCATGGACGTGGTGGCGGTGATGAGACCGCGCGCGAGAGCCCACCCGATTCTCCTATGCTAATAAGTGCAGTTCCAACGAAAGAAATTAGTAGTTTCTATAACATATGATACCATATCAAAAAAGTACTGTTTTTCAACCCATGGTTTCTATGAATAATAATTATTTTCTATTTCTCTCTCCCAACTGTATCTTCTTCCTCCAATGGGAGTGCGACACGAGCTCCCTACAAACTGGTGGTTTCTCCCCAATGACGATTTCATGATTTCTTGGTGCATTGGGTCAAGAGTAGACCTGATTTCTTCATGAGAAAACTATTTCTATGATTTTTGCTCTCTTTCTTCATTAATTACGTTATCATGTCAGCATTTTACCTACGTAGCAAGTTATTTAATAAGGATAGAAACCATCGTCAATACACTATTAGAACTGCCCTAGATATTTGGTAACCAACGCCAGGTGGAGCTGTCGAAAGCAAATCCGACCCAAGGCACCACCGGGACCGGAGGTCCGCGTCCACCGAGTTGCATGGCTGTTGGCCTCCGTCCTGGGAGGGGGACGGGGTGTGTCCCTGTTGCCTCCGATGTGGGGTGGGGTCCCACT